TTTGGTGACCATAAAGAACATGACTTTCTAAGTGTCACTATGCAATAAACTGAAAATTCCATATGTGACACTTATGTAATTATACGTAGGGAGTGACGATTTAAAAAATACAGTGGATCAAATTAATGAGTTACAAATTTGTTAGATTTGTATTTATGGTCAAAGATTTTTCTGTAACATAGAAAATATCTTGATTAAAAAGTTGGAACACATTAAATTGACCTTCCGTACAGACATATATGTATACATAGTTTATACAAAGAAAGTTTCCCTAGCGGCGGACGGCACCTAATACCGGACATTAGCAATATTTCTGAAATATAAAACTCGTTGACGATTGTCAATTGCGTAAGAGTTAAAGGTTTATCTACTCTAATTCCTCCGCGATTGACAATTATCATCGATTTTTATATTTCAGAGATATCGCTAATGTCCGGTATTAGATGCTGTCCGCCGCTAGGGAAACTCTCCTCAAAGCATAATTTATGTTACCGTTGCTTCAAAATACCGATAGTATGTTCAACTCGCACACGACATGACGATAATTTGGTATTATAAGAAGTTTCAGCAGCAGTCAGATGGCCATTGTCTTTATACGGAGTCATTAATGTTGGAAGGCATAGGTATGCACTGTCTCCTAAAAGCCATCCACCTGTAACATTTTATCTTTTATAAACAAATATTATAACAATATCAAATAATATTAAATAATCTATTTTACAAATAGATGTAATTGATGTTTCAGTTCATTCTGCTAAGAAAAAATAATTTGAAATTATGCAATACTCACGTAATTCTGGATTAAGTAATTTTTCAATCAATGGCGAGTTTCTCAAAACTCTTGAATCGTGTACAGACCCCGGAAACCTAATAAAAACATCTATAATTTTGTGTTCATGGTTACAAACTATTTGCATTTGTATAGAGAAGAAATCTTTTCTATTATAATAACTTTCAGCACTTTCTTTTGGCCTATCTATGCGGATATGAGTTCCATCAATACATCCAATTACATTTGGAAAACTCTTTATTTGTTGAAAATATATTTTAGTTATTTCCCTTTCTTCTTCATTAGGCCAGTGAATATGCTGTGGTGCAATATCGACCAAATAATCAGATACTCTTGTAATGATGTCAAATAGTACACTCAATGACAGATCAAACCGGTCCGCACAGTCTCTATACGATGACACTTCATAGCCAACGAACCACAAGAATGTGTATAAATGTTTCTCAGGAGATATAGCATTTCGGCCAAAAGCTAGAAAAAAGTTAAAAAGAAAAAAATTGTACAATGTATGTATACTTTTTGAGTTACGTATACATATGTACATCCTCACTTATTAAATCTTTTCAAAAAAGAATATATATTATTATATAAAATAAGCAAAAATGACATAATTACTGTATAATACCCATTGACAATAGATGTGTAATGTACTGATTGCAAAAACTGTAAAATGAGTTGATTAACAACATCTCTTCTTAATCTAAAATGCATTACAAATTCTTTTTCTTTATACTCAGAAATGACAGCTTCATAATTTTCTATGCAATGTCTTTTGTTATTTTCGTCAGAAGACGAAGACGAATCAAAAAATTCCCGGCCGATTAATATTTCCGATGAATCGGATGATGATGATGAAGATGAAGAACTCATAATCAATTTAAATAAAGAAAACACGGAATTGAGAATAATCACATTTAAAAACAGCATAGGCATAGGTTAGGTTATAATCAGATTAGGTTATCAGGTCAGGCTAAGTTATAAACTGTCGTGTTCTTTTTACAGCCACCCGAGTTCACTTTAGAGTCGTTCAGAGCACATAAGTAGTTAACTTCCTGTTTTACGATCCACTTCCGGAGTTTCTTATCTTAACCCAAAGATACCCAGGTTTACTCCGAGATAAACCCAGAATAGATAAAACGAACAAACCTAAAGGGTGCATCTAGAAGCACAATTGCTCAGTAAACACTCTAGATCTGTCTACTGGATGCAAACGCTCCCTAAGGCCTGTTCTACAATACAGTCGTAAGCTGTAAGTCGTAAGAAATTGACCAATCACAAATAAATCACAGAAGAATAATCGATTGTGATTGGTCAATTTCTTACGACTTACGGCTTACGACTGTATTGTAAGGCCTGTTCTACAATACAGTCGTAAGCCGTAAGTCGTAAGAAATTGACCAATCACAATCAATTATTCTTTTGTAATTTGTCTGTAATTGGTCGATTTCTTACGACTTACAGCTTACGACTGTATTGTAGAACGGGCCTAAAACAGGCCTAAGCGGCTTACAGTGAGCGATCGCCATTTTCGTGAGCGTAGTTTTGCATCGCTCACTCCGCTCACCTATATGGTCTTTTGCACAAAAGAATATCCCTAAAGGTTAGTAACTTATATATTTCTTGTGCTTGTTAATTTTTATTTCAAAATTGGAAACTGAAATGATCTTTTATTGCAAATAATTAAACAATTTAATAATTAGACATTGTTAATATGTATAAATTTTTTGAAATCTATATAGTAATATCTTCTGTCTATATGTTGTCCAATCACATTTACAAGTTGCTATAAGTTATAATTAATAAATTTTTTAAGATATACAATCTATGACTTTTTTTGGTATCATAACAAATTATTATACATAATAAGTATAAAGTTTATAATTATTATAAATAAAAAAAAGATTATTTTTTGTATTGTAATATTTTGTTATACTTACCTCCATTGTAGTGCGTCTCATTTGGAAATGTACATGAAAATCGCATAAAGAATATTGTGGAACTGTTACTTCAAAATAATTTTCATTACGATAATGCACAGATTTATAATTTAATAAAATATTTTTTTTTTCTTCACATAAATTTTCACAATGAAGGATAATTTGCATAATATTATCATTTTCACTTTCATTTTCTAAAATTATCATACCAATATGTCTTTGCATTATTACAAATTATATATATTACTATTATTTAGTAACAACTTTTATATAACTTTACTTTCTTCTTATACAATATTTCTATAGCTGCATTCTGATATTTACTGTCAGTACTAAAAATCTATATTTCACGTCAAATGTGTTATAGATTTCTAGCACTGGGAGTGAATATCGAAACGCAGGTTATGTCACGTAATATAACTGACATAAAACAAACCGAGCATATATCCAGTAAATCAAAAAGCGCTCACTGAGCGGCTACTTGTGAGCGCTCACTAAGCGCTCACTGAGCGGTTGTGCTTCTGAATGCACCCACTGGTCTAGTTTCCACCGAAACCCTCAATTCGGTTTCACTCCGGTACGGATTAAATTTAGTGTTCCGTTTCCATTGGAAGTAGAGTACTTATACAATAGATCGAAGCGGAAGCGAAATCAGCGCAATTTGACAAAGTTTCCATCGACTTAACCTGGATCCTCATGCAGACACTGGCGCTTTAGCACCAGCGCTCAAGCGCTGTTTCAACTGTTGAGCAGAGATGCCAGATTCTGAACACTTGGTAGCATGCGGTAGCATGGAAGGGATGCGCACACAACCTCAGATCGTGTACGTGTGCGATCGCGCCTGAAGCTCGAGGTACACGATCTGAGGTTGTGTGCGCATCCCCTCCATGCTACCGTTGCTACCGCATGCTACCAAGTGTTCAGAATCTGGCATCTCTGCTGTTGAGCAAAGCTAATGAGAGCTGTCAATCCTCATGACAGCTCCGGTGCTTTAGCGCCGTTTCCTCCCACTATCCGCTTTTCACCAATCAACGCTCGGTGTCAAAGCGCCGGTGTCTGTATGAGGATTCAGCCTTAAATTTGATTTTACGTCGCATTAGGTGTGAATTAATGCTTCGATGGAAACTAGACCACTGTGTGACACTTTACTTCCAATGGAAACGGAACACTAAATTTAATCCGTACCAGAGTGAAACCGAATTGAGGGTTTCGGTGGAAACTAGACCAGTGTATGACAGTGTTCCGTTGTTGGAAAGCACCCTTTAGCAAGCAAGAATGTACGCCATCAAAAAATCAATTAGATCTTTGTTGAAGGTTAGACTCAGAATGGTAGAAGAAATTATTAATTCCAATAATAAACCAAAAGTAAGAGGACATAATTAAAGTAATCATTACTTGCATTGCGCGTGAATAATATTTTTAGTTTGTATTGTTACTTTATTTACAGAGCAAGACAGCTAGACCTCGTCCGGTATATTTGTGGAATGTATTAGATGTACAAAAGTGGCTGAGACGACACTGTAGTGATTACTATCAAATATATCATGAAAAATTTTTGTATGTAAGCAGTTTTTCTGTTGTATGAAACTCTTTCTTATTTGAAAAGAACATTAGTAAAAATTTGTTTTACATTTACTACTTGGATAATATATACTAAAATAAAATGATAAAACTTAGTAATTTTATTTTTAAGAAAAAATATATATTTCATGTATTTAAAAAATATAATTTTTGTTTTAGCATGATATTACTGGAAGAGTATTATTAAGAATAAATGAAAGTATCTTGTTAAGACTTGGTATTGATAATAAACAGCACAGGATGGAAATATGGAGAGAAATAATAAAACTGCGTCTGAAGACAGATATGTTAGAGATTAAGGATATTGAGAGACGCAATAATATAAATTTTGACTAAAATATTACAATATATATATATATATATATGTATATATTGAGAATCTCTTCTGTATCAAAAAATGCTATTAATAACTAATTTGAAAATTAACAATATATATATATATTTATTTACTTATTTATTGTATAATGTTTTTTATATAATGTAGTTACCTTAAGAACCAAAATATGGTTTTATAGTTGACCTATACAAATACAAATTATAAATTTGACAGTGAAGATATTGAAGATTTATTTATTGTATGTTTTAACTTTCTACATTTAAGTGAACTTCACTTGTTGTCAGTAATGTTTGAAGATCTCAATTCTGAAATGTCTGGAAAATCCTATGATAGTAAAGAACTCAGCTTTATTCGTCTTTTTATGTTACTCATCTAAAAAATTTAGCACATTTGTTAACCTGTTAACCACTATTATTAATGATCCTATCACATTGGTCTAGTTTCCACCGAAACCTTCAACTTCGGTACAGATCAAATTTAGTGTTCCGTTTCCAGTGGAAGTAGAGTACTTATAGATCAAAGCGGAAGCAAAATCAGCGCAATTTGACAGGTTTCCATCGACTTAAATTTGATTCTACGTCGCATTAGATGTGAATTAATGCTTCGGTGGAAACTAGACCATTGATAGATCAGGACAGGACATATAAACTTTTTTTCACCTCACGTCGATATATATATATTATATATTATATGGGTGCTTTCCAACTACGTACACAGGCGACACTGTGTAACACAGTGTCCATTAGTGTGAGAAAGAGCATATCGGTGTGTCTCACTCACACTAGTGGACACAGTGTTACCACAGTCTAACCATACCCAGTTGCGACAGTAAGCCGTTCGACTTGAAACAAACTTTTAGTGCGCATGTGCGAGTTTATACATCTAACAACATGGCTGCGTCCAGAATATCAGTAGGTAACCTCAGTTAACCGCTTCACGATATATTNTTTTGTGAATGACTTTTTTTCTTTAATTAGTGACAATAAAATGTTTTCGTCATTTTGTCTTGACAGAAAGAAATGTGATAAAAATGAAGAGAGGTGGTTATAGCTGTAGTATGAAAGGCTGTCCAAATATTTCTGGACGTGAATCTAGTCCCAGTTTTTTTCGTTTCCCAAGGGATCCAGAAAGGTAAAAATGATTTTTATTATCGAGTTTATTGCTTACTACTGAATTATATAT